GCTATTTACCAGTAGATCGATAAGAACCACCAGCATCTTCAGACTGGAGCGATTACTGTAGGCCTCCTTCAGTTCGACGGTGAGGCAGATGACATCATATTCTGAAGACGGTGAGGGCAGTGAAGTGGGCCTACTTCTGCTTATGAATGGACATCTGAAGATGTTTTGCCGTAGACCTCCCATCAACATCGGCACCATGTTCGACGAAAAATTTGATAATGTGGAACATGAGCGCAGTGACTTTTATTGCCCCACCCCCCCCCCCCCCTCTCCCCGTCCCCGTGTACAGGAAGGGCACACTATAGCTACAATGGAAGGGTTTGGGAGGCTGGATAAGAGAGGGTGGTAACGCAAATCATCCAATCAGAGGCATCAAGAAAAGCCAAATTATTTTGAGAGCTCTGCTCTGCAACGTAACAAGAGCTTCATCCTCACTCATACTATATTTGTTAGTCACCGTTCTAAGAAAAATGGACCTAAGTGATCGCGATATGTATGTCTCTACAATGATAATGCCGGCCAGCTTCACTGCACCAAGTTACATGCCTCACGCATGCATGGTAGTATTTTGTAACGGCTGTCACACACACCTCGAAAATGTGTATGTAACTACATATATAATACCAGTTGGCGCCGCACGCATTGCGCGCGCAACACAGATCTGTGGCGAATTTTGATGGTGCGACGAAAAATTTCAAATTTGGCTTGATACAATACGAATATCTGAATTCTCCGCTAAATTCTATGCGCTCTTTCTTCGTCAACCATTATCCTATTTTTCTCGGTCCTCGGCCCGGACAATAAATCTCGTGGCGAACTCCGTCTACTTCGGTGCGTGCCCTGCCGACCAATAGCATTTGGCTCCCTTCTTTTCGCCGACCTCTACCCCCTTTTTCACCGGTCTCTGGGACCTCTTGGAACCAAATTACGACACTTTTGGCAAACTCCGCCCACTTAGGTGCGTGCTCTACCCAGTGATAGCAGTTGAGCTCTTTTCCCTCACCAACCTCTAACCCCGTTTTCCCCTATCTCTAGGACCTCTTGCAACCGAATTGCGATACTTTTGGCAAACTCCGCCCACTTGGGTGCGTGCTCTACCCACTAATAGCATTTGACCTCCTTTCCTTCGCCGACCTCTACTCCCTTTTTCCCAGCCTCCTGGACTTCTTGGAGCCGAGTTATGAATTTTCGTCGCAAACTCCGCCCACTTTGGTCATGTCCCCCACCATTGACAGCTGGCCTCCACTCCTCCACCCACCTCCATCCACCTTTTCCCGGCCTCCGGGACTTCTTGGAGCCGAGTTATGAATTTTCGTCGCAAACTCCGCCCACTTTGGTCAAGGCCCCGCCCACCAATGGCCTTTGACCTCCACTTTCCCACCCAACTATATCTTCTTTTTTCCCCACTCTCCGGGACCTTCTGGAACAGAGTTCTGAATTTTCGTCGCAAACTCCACCCCACTTTGGTCAAGCTCCGCCCACCGATGACAGCTGGCCTCCACTTCCCCCACCCACCTCCATCCACCTTTTCCCCAGCCTCCGGAGCTTCATGGAGCCGAGTTATAAATTTTCGTCGCAAACTCCGCCCACTTTGGTCAGGCCCCGCCCACCAATGACAATTAACCTCCACTCCTCCACCCACCTCTATCCACCTTTTCCCCAGCCTCCGGAGCTTCATGGAGCCGAGTTATAAATTTTCGTCGCAAACTCCGCCCACTTTGGTCAGGCCCCGCCCACCAATGACAATTAACCTCCACTCCTCCACCCACCTCTATCCACCTTTTCCCCAGCCTCCGGAGCTTCATGGAGCCGAGTTATAAATTTTCGTCGCAAACTCCGCCCACTTTGGTCAAGCCCGCCCACCATTGATAGCTGGCCTCCACTCCTCCATACACCTCTATCCACCTTTTTCCGGCTCTTTAGGACTTCCCCGACCCGAATTATGAGGGCTTGTAGAAAATGCTGTACACTTCAGAGCGCGCCCGCCCATTCTGGGCAGGCCTCCGCCCACGTCATGTATGCGGGAAACACCTTAGACATTGCTCCCTTACACCAAATTGTTTTCTGCTCTGTAGGCTTTCTCCCAACCGAGTTATGAAATTTTTCATAAAGCACTGCTTTTTTGGAGAACGCCCCGCCCACCGGGGGTGGGTCTCCCTAATTCGATGTGACTTACCAATGCACACCTTTACCCACTTTTTGGCCCAGTTTCGAGGTCGTTTTGTCACTGAAATCGAAATCTTGGTCTTTGGTACAATTCATTTCGACGCACGCCACGCCCTCTGTGGGCGGGGCTCCGCTTAGCTGATGTGTGTTTTGTATTACGTGAGACCCTGCCCACCCATCCCACACTTGACCCGGTCCCTCCAGGCGGATCCCGAGGAGCTAGGGAATTTCGTGACAGACATACAGACGACAGACAGACACGACAGACGAAGCGCTTTATAGTTAGTAGGATGCACACCTTAGCCCACTTTTTGGCCCAGTTTCGAGGTCGTTTTGTCACTGAAATCGAAATCTTGGTCTTCGGTACAATTCATTTCGACGCACGCCACGCCCTCTGTGGGCGGGGCTCCGCTTAGCTGATGTGTGTTTTGTATTACGTGAGACCTTGCCCACCCATCCCACACTTGACCCGGTCCCTCCAGGCGGATCCCGAGGAGCTAGGGAATTTCGTGACAGACATACAGAACGACACAGACAGACGACAGACGAAGCGCTTTATAGTAAGTAGGATAACGGACGGCTTAGTGTATTTGTTGCGTGCGCCACCATGTGGCGCACACGCCACCCAGGGTAGGGTATGTAGGCTTATGTGAACAGCAGGGGTAAGACGGGGCTAAAGTAGGTGTCGGAGTCTCATCATCCGAAAAAAGAGATTTCCGTTGACGACAAGTTCGTAGCCCGCCTTTCCGCTCTAAAACTAGGGTGCAAAGAATGAATGGAAGCTGTAGGTGACATTATCGAAAAATGCGAAACAACAACCCCGAGCAAGGATGTGGCTATATTTAGGGGAAGGGGTCTCGGGACGTGCGAACCATGGGTAAGCCACCCATCAAATAGTAAACTTATGTAAATTAAGACAAAATTTATGTTGTAGGTTTGTCAAAAATCCAGCCGTCCAGGTCCTGGGAAGATATGTTATTCCACATTGCTGAGAGTATATATGGGTATATTAAGATTGCTAGAAACATTTCCAAAAACAAAAAATAGTCGTGCGCCACCTTGTGGCGCACGCCGTCCTTAGGCCCTGTTCAGAGATGTCCGCTTGCGCGAAAAAACGCATAGGCGAAACAATGTGAAATATGTATCGACTGAACGAAGACGCACAGGCGAATCGTGAAGTGGGAGGATCGACGAAAATGAGTATCATACGCATCGACTTACGAACGCTTCGCTCACGCGATTTTCCGCCTGTGCGTTTCTCACAGTCGATACATATCAAACTCTTGACTGAAATTCGCCTGCTCCGGACGTTTCGCTTACGCGTTTCACAATTTCTCAGTCGATGCGTATCTAAATCTTGGCGGAGATTTTCGCCTGTGCGTTTTTTCGCGCCGGCGGACATCTCTGAACAGGGCCTTATGGGTCAACATCAGAAATTTACATTAGCGTGTTCCTACGGTAGCGTGATGGTGTACGTGATTACACTGCTTCTGACGGAGTTTGCGAATAGCATCGCATTTTTCGCGTTCTCGTAACATTTGCCATCCTTTATTCTTGCTAAACCATTTCCAGCTTCTTTTATGAGAAAGCTCAGATTTAAAGTGCGTTGATGACCATTGCGAGATTTTTTCCGGAGTGGCACTCTTTTCGAAATCCATTGAAATGTCTTTAATTTTAGTCGTTTTTATTCACACACAAGAATTTCTGCTAAGGTTCCATTGTTTTATATCAAACTAACCACTCAAAGAGAATTGTCTCCTTTTCAAGAAAAAGTGTGTTTCATTTTACACATTCGTTTTTCAAAAGTTGTAAATTTTTGTCTGGTCTGTGGGGCCTCAATCGCCGAAATTGAGCAAATCGACAACTAGCTCTAACTCTATTCTACCCTAAGAGAAATCGGCCATTGATTCTAGATAGGCCGCTCATAACCTCTCATAAACATTCCGCTGTTAGGATGCAGGAAAGCCTTTTTTTGTTTCTTTTCAAATTTGGTTTTTCTAGTTGATCGATAAGCCATATTCGAATTGGAATTCATCCTCTGAGAAACTACTGTTTTATGTCACGTGGTACATAATACGTAAGCACTTTTTCTGCCCTATTCGCTCATTTGTTTTGTTCCTATATTTGTGAAGTAAGTTGAATTTCAGTCGTGCGTGATAAGGTGTTAAGCCCACGAAAATGACATCACATGCTTTGGGTACATTATCTTAGCTTAGACATGACTTATTCGGCCTTAACATTCCACTAGTTTTCCCCAGTATATTAGCATGCCGATAGGTGCTTGATCGCCGATCGCTCTGGTAGAAAAAACAGTCTGAAAAGGAGCGAGAGCATCATAGAGAAACGCTAATAGCAATTACTCAGAAGAGGGTCGTGACTAGAGAACGGGTTCATCATCATTGATTAATTTCTCCTGTAGGAAAATAGAGTGAGGGCTGATTGTCGGTTTGGCAATTTTTCGTCGACTGGACCTCCCATTTCACAGGCCTGAAATTTGAAAACCCTGCAACGTAACGCTTGTATAGCAGACAATCCTCTTTCGAATGACTAGCATAACTTGACGTTAACAATGGAAATTTAGCAGAAGTTTTGTTGTTTCAATAAAAACGCCGCTACTTATGGGACAACCTAATATGTTAATATAAGTTTGCATTTTTGAGAAGTTGTGAATTTTCATGTTTATAAATGTGATTGTTGTTGTGAATGTCCAATGAAGTGTTTCCTAAGTTCGTTTTTCTCAAAGCTTTCGCCTTATATTTTTCGAGTGTTCACATATTTTAGTTATCGCATATGTATTTCTGGTTCTAGGGTAAAAATTGGCTAGAAGTGCGATAATGATTGAGGCAGACATTCAGATTCTGCAGGATGAGATCAAGGCGATGGGGGATGAGATTAGGTCCTTGAAAGCAGAGAAAGCTGATGCGGCATTGGTGCGTTTACCATTCCTAGCAAATATCTCACTACCCTTCTGCCAGTTGGTGTGTGTTTATTGTATCGAATTCATAAAAGCGAAACGACTTGTAATTAACTCGCAGCGATTGTGAAGAACGTTTCTCATTATCTTTTGGAACCCGAGGGCTGCGGTCATAGTTTGCGATCATGAGGTTTTTCGTGAAGTAGATTCGTATTGCTCGTGCAACCCTACGATCATGGAGAATTCTGTGCTAAAGGAATGATAAGGAAATGTGGTGGACGATTTAGAAGCCACCCCTCCCTACTACGCTAGCAGATTCCCTACCTGAACCGACTTTGTCTGGATTGACTGGATTGTCTTGTCGCATGTCGCATGCGATTTGCTTCACAATGAAATCACTCCTCGTACCTTGATGACTCCATATGCAACAAATAAGGGCTATACAATAGCTTCACCACATTTCAAGGTTTTAGTAGGACCCATCTTGTTCCTGTAACGTGCAATTTGTTCTGTTTTTTGCAGTTTAAATTGGGTGATGTTGCGCGATCCCATTTTTTGTCGTTTTAATCTCTTTTCGACTTTTTTGCATATAATAGTATGAGTGAATGTTATAGTGACACTGAGACTGGCTTTCAAAGATGATCTCGTCGCGTTTTCTGAGGGAATGCTTGCGTTACTCCACCGTTGCGAGAAAACCTGTTATTTACACACACCGCAGTGGCAGAAGGGTGCGCGAGAAATTTGTACATCTTTCAATCTTATAAGTTGGTGCAGTAGAGCATAATCGCACTAGGTGTGATTCGCTTATTATATATCCGTATTGGTGTGCTTTAGATCAAACAGAAAATCGCTGCTATGCTTGAAAAGAAGAAATTGCTTGGTGAAGGTCAGACCGATCAAGGGAAATTTGTCTTGAAGACTGCCAAAGGTATTATTAGCTTCCTTGATAAGAGACAGTTCAATTTTTCTCTCCAATATGTTCGTTGCCATATTCCATTCTCATAGGAACTCGGGATTATGGGCCGAAGTCAATGGCGGTTAGAGAGTCTGTGCTAAAGATTGTCACAGATGCATTTAAGAGACACGGAGCCGAGACCATCGATACACCAGTTTTTGAGCTCAGAGAGGTAAATTATGAGTTCTGCTCTCCAGACGTTTTAATTGTCTTCGATCTCTTTCAGGTGCTAATGGGTAAGTACGGTGAAGAAGGAGGGAAGCTTGTTTATGACTTACAAGATCAAGGAGGTGAACTGTTGTCACTGCGATATGATTTAACGGTTTGTGGTCATCTTTTGCAAGCTCGAATGATGTGAATCATGAAGAGCTTGCGTAGTCATTGTAATTTCAACTACATTTTAGGTGCCGTTCGCGTCGATATCTCGCATGAATAAAGATACACAAACATAAGAACGTACCACAGTGCGTAATGTGCTATCGCAGAGATAGCCGTGATTGACCAAGAGGCGGTATAAGCGGAATTCTATCAATGTGTGGGTCCTTCGCATTTTTTTCCTGTATAGTCCTGATCTTGTGAAATGCTACCGATACAGTGTTCAATACGTCTTTGACAGGATTTCGACATTGCCGGGCAGTACGATCTCATGATCCCTGAAGCAGAGTGTTTGAAGATAGTAGACGAAGTTCTCTCAAAACTGGAAATTGGAGAATTCATCGTTAAGGTTTGAACATCATTTTCACGATTGATGATGATTGAGGACATTTTTTTTCATTCGTGCGGACTTGTTTTGGACGATGATTCAGGACATTTTTCATATCAACCCGGACGTTTTTCTATTAATCAAAACGTGTTGAAATCAACCGGGGACATTGTTCTCTACTTCAGGCAGGGTCAACCCTATCGTTGTTACTTTTTTCGAAAAATTTTTACGACCCCCCTCCCCCAAGGTGGATTTGGTACGACCCCCTTTTCGACACCTCGACCACCATATTCCTCTCTATATTAATTCCACTACCACTCAACCCTCAAAACTCCGCCCACTTTTTCCTCCAAAAATGCCGTCGAGCGGGGGGGGGAGGGGGGGGGGGTATATAAGTCCCCTCTGAAAACAGTAAAAATATTATAGTCCCTCTGAAACAGTAAAAACAAAAATTTTCCCATAATTCCCACAATTCCCTAAATTTTCAACCAATTTACCCTATTTCTACCTATAATCTCACTGTTTCCTTTTCTAGGGGGGGTATATACGCCGGCTGAAACGGCAAATTTTTATCTTGCGCGCCCTCTACTCGCACAACCTACTACCCACGAAATCTTAGTTTCTCCTCAATCCCACACGTGATTTCGAGCGACTAAAGTGGGTACGACCCCCCCCCTCCTACAAACTCAACCAGGTACGACCCCCCCGTTGTTACTCGTAACAACGTAGGGTTGACCCTGTCGGACACTTTTTGATCACGTGGACGTTCTCCATGCAGCAACATTTTATCTGAAGATAGCCTTCGACTTTTCGAAAATGTGTATTTCAGAAAAGTCGTAGGCTATCTTCGGATAAAATGTATCTATTGAATTGTCTGGTGCGCCGACATTTTCAATTCTTTGCTTGGCGAAATTCGGCTGAGTTACGCGGGCGTAGAGCAGGCGCTGAGCGCAGTCATTTAAGATAGGACTGTGACTGAGCAAGATAGTGCTAGCCACGTTTTACACAGGGTGGTACATCTGAAGTCTGCAGCAGCTAGATAACCTTCTGTTAATTTCGCAGTGTTCTCTCCGTTTCCGTTGTTTTCTGTGGAAGAAATTCAATTTGTTTTACAGAGAAATATGCTGTGTTGTTGAATGAGCAGGAAATTTCGTTCTGTTGGAGTAATATCCCGTGTTTAAGAAGAATTCACGGTTGAAATAAAAATGATTATGACCGGTTCAGGCAGTGTCCAAGTTGATTTGAAAAGTCCACCTTGTTTTGAAGAATGTTCACCATCAATTTAAAAATTGCCGGAGCAATTTGAAAATATCCTTGAAAAAGGTCAGCTTTGGTCTGAAAAATGTCCGCCCTGAAATGAAATGGTATGAATTGGAATGAATTCTTCGGTGTGGTTAGGTTTGTCCTCTTATCTCACCCTAAGATTTTCCTAAATTAATAGTTTCAGTTGAACCACCGTCTCATCCTCGAAGGTATGTTTGCTGCCTGCGGAGCTGGTGCCGATCAGTTCAAAACTGTTTGTTCATCCGTGGATAAGCTCGATAAACAACCATGGGTTGAGGTACTACTAGTTGTCACCACAGATCTTTTGATCTATATATAGATTTTCCTTCATAGGTCGAAGAAGAACTCATAAAGGAGAAAGGACTGACAAAAGAGAACACCGAAAAGTTGGGTCAATTCGTCCGGCTACGAGGTTGTTCATCCACTCAGATATGTCGATATTACCGAATTTCAGCTTATTATAGAGTTTAATCCATCAATGGGTAATGTTGAGCTTTTGGACAAATTGATGGAGTTCGAAGAACTTGCGAAGAATGCGCGTTTCAAGAAAGGCATTGAAGAATTAAAGGTGAGTTTTCCATGTGCTTCCCTACCAGAATGATGTCAAGGAACAGTCATTTAAGGTGCTGGTGAACTACTGTTCACTTTTTGGTGTTAACTCTGTACGGTTCGATCCTTCGTTAGCGAGAGGATTAGATTATTACACCGGAGCTATTTATGAGGCTGTTGTTCCAAGTCAGTTACTATGCTTTGTTTTGTTGCTTTACAGTGGAATCTATTAATCTCCCAATTCGCATCATATCAGTACAGTTTACATGAAATTCCAGTTTTCAGAGGCGTTAGAAGGTATCAATCTTGAAACTAATGGTGAAGAGCAGAAAGGTCTTCCTGTAGGCGTTGGATCCGTTGCCGCCGGAGGAAGGTAAACGTTTTCAAAAGGCTCTTTCTTTTTCCTTAGTTTTATCATTCGATGCTCTACTAGGTATGATGAATTAGTTGGCAACTTCATGGCACCTAGTGGGGCTAAAGGAAAGGAAAAGCGTCAAGATGTTCCATGTGTCGGTATATCGTTTGGTATCGAGCGGTTATTCGCCATCATGGAAGCAAAAATGCAGGTATGTTGGTAATTATTCACTTGGTCATTATGTTTATACTATCACCATTTTTTGAAGATTGAACAACTGCAAGTACGGACCACTGAAACCGAAATTTACATCGCATCTGCTCAAAAGAATCTTTTACAAGAGCGCATGAAGCTTTGTAAGACACTATGGGATGAGGGGTTCAAGGTACTGCAAAAGCCATACTATACTTTCTGTTTTGCTTGAATTCACTGTGTAATTTCAGGTTGAGCTAGCTTATAAAGCAAATCCCAAATTGCTCACCCAGCTACAGTATTGCGAGGACCGACTGATCCCACTAGTGTTGATAGTGGGTGAGCGCGAGCTCCAAGAAGGCGTGGTGAAACTTCGAAATGTTAAAACAAGAGCTGAGCAGGTAGGGTTGTTCTCATCAGGAAAATTGTTCTTCCTGTGCTGTAATTTCTTGTGATGCTTTTCAGTGAGGGTGAAGGTGATGAGGTTTCATTTATTGAAATGTGAGTGTCCCCAGCGGTAATGGTAAAAGGAGGATAACGCTGTGCAGTAGTTTCTTGGCCGAAAATTTTGTGCTTTGATAATCATTATCTCGAACTGAGAATTTTACCAACAAGGATGGCGTGTATT